ACTCTATGAATTCTATAAAATGTACATTTCTATGAACCCTGTAAAGCCCCTAAGGGTTAGGGTAAAACACTGTGAAGCTGTAAAACTCAATTTTACAGTGTTTTATAAACTTATACAATGTTTTACAGTGTTTTATCGAGTTTTGAAGAATTTTATAAGGTTTAGCAATTTTTACTTGAAATTATAATGTTTTTTAATATTTTGTTACCAGAATTATATCTTATTTTTAGATATCAGAATTTCTAGCGTTCTTATGTAAGTGTCTTAGCATTCAACTTTGTCAATGGCTGATCGTCCTTTCGTATTTCCAGTTTTTTTGTTTGAAACTGATTTATCTATTTGAAAAATGAATTTAATCTGTAAAAAGTTTGAGATGTTGCTGAGAAGAAAATTGTTTCTGAAAGTTTCGAAAGATAGTTGCTGAGTTTGCTATAGTCTCTAAAGTATTTGGAATATCAACGTGTCGAAATTCAGCCTCTGTTTCCATTTTAAGAGTTTGACAAATTTAAGGCGTTGAACTGTAGAGCGTGGCGTGATTTTTTAGTGAACTACAATTTGTGAACACGTTTTAAAGAAGGATTGTCAAAAATTGTATACTTCCCTCAAACTAACAGCATTATGGCGTGATTTTTCGTTTCAAACCAATCAGCGTTAAAAGGAGGTCTTAAAATATGTATTCATAGTTTTTCATTATTTAATTAATGACTTGGCATATACGCTGATGAGAGTGTATGGAAAGAAGCCTATAAATACAGACTGAAAAGCTCTAGTTTTAGTCGTTTATGATTTTGTTTTAAGTTTAGTTTAATTTTAGTTTGTATTTAATTTTAGTAGATACGAGATCTATGCAGCTAAACGCGATCCCGGCCGTGCGGATGAACAATACAACTGACAGTGTTGTGATCTTTTATTAACAAGGTAACTCAGTCTGCAATATTTCTACACTAGTGTTTCGGATTTGTTAGAAATCCTCATCAGGATCAGCAGACTGTTTAATATAAAATATAAATATATCAGTATCATACATCATATATGAAAATATTTATAAATAATTTACAACTTTAAGGAATAAACTAAATAAATTAAAACCATCTACTAAAGGAAATATTTACGAAATCATTTAAAAATTAATTAAATTATATACAAATCATTTGCAATTTAAGGAAAAGAATAAAGGAATAGATTAAATGAATTAAAACCATCTACTAAGGAAATATTTACGAAATTATTTACAAAATTAAGAAATAGGTCAATAGAATTAAGATTATCTATAATAAACGAAACAAACGAAACAAAGTGAATAAAACGTGTCCTCAGATTATGCTAATTATAAATTATAAATTACAAGGTCATGATTAAAGTAAGTATAAATAAGAAGATTAACATCACAATTATTAAAATTAACGCGGAACCAATGAAAACATTGTAATAAGAGAGTAACGTGTAAAACAACAATAAAGTATCTCAAATTGAAATATAAATTGAATTATAAAATTATAAATTGTAAGTTAGTATTAACATTAAAAGAAAACATTTGCAGGAAACAATGGTACAAAAAATTAATTGACAAAGTAATTGAAAAATTATTGGAAAGTAATGGAAAGTAATTGAGAAAGTGGAAGGAAACGTAATTGAAGCATAATTAAAACATAATTGAAACAGTGTCAAACAATGCAAAATCGAATTAAAATTATAAAATTGAACCGCTAATTAAAACAAATAAACACATCAAATAAATAAAGAATAACTGAATCAAGAATTAAAAAGTAAAACAATTGGTTGCAGGTTATATTATTACATAAATATATGCACATGTATATACAGGTATTGGTTGCAGGTTATATTATTATTATTATATATTATTACGTGAATATATGCATAAGTATATACAGGTATTGGTTGCAGGTTATATTACTATATAAATATATGCACATGTATATACAAGTCTTGGTTGCAGGTTATATTATTACACACATATATGCACAAGTATATACAGGCATTGGTTGCAGGCTACATTATTATATGAATATATGTATATACAGGTATAGGTTGCAGGTTATATTATTACATGAATATATGCATAAGTATCTACAGGTATTGGTTGCAGGTAATGGTTGCAGGTTATATTATTACATAAATATATGCGCATGTATATACAGGTATTGGTTGCAGGCTATATTATTACATGAATATATGCATAAGTATATACAGGTATTGGTTGCAGGTTATATTATTACATGAATATATGCACAATTATATACAGGTATATGCATGTAAGGCTTTCAAACGTATGTAGTTATTCCAATTATAGAAAACAAGTTAATACCAACATATAATATATGAACACTACATCATGCAGATTATACGATCGTTGCTATCAGAAAGCAATTACCCATGCACTAACGTTAATTACGAATTGCAAATAACGAAACCTGGTAAAGTAGAGTATATATCGAACATAGGGTAGGGTACTTACTATTTCATATAGGTCCGTACGTGAAACGCAGAGAGATGAATAAATTAAATTAGAATTAAATACAGATATTAGATATGCAGGTAAAATTAGGAAATAAAATTATTGAAAACTAAATACCGGAATAAAGTAATTAGTAAACAAAAGCGAACAATAATAAATTAAATTAGAATTAAATACAAATATTAGATATGCAGGTAAAATTAGGAAATAAAATTATTGAAAAATAAATTAAATTAGAATTAAATACAGGTATTAGATATGCAGGTAAAATTAGGAAATAAAATTATTGAAAACTAAATACCGGAATAAAGTAATTAGTAAACAAAAGCGAGCAATAATAAATTAAATTAGAATTAAATACAAATATTAGATATGCAGGTAAAATTAGGAAATAAAATTATTGAAAAATAAATACCGGAATAAAGTAATTAGTAAACAAAAGCGAGCAATAATAAACAATACACAACCAGGAAGTTAGTAAGTTCTAAAATTAATATCGTCGCACTTATAATAATATCGCAATTGCGCTTTCTAGTGTAATAGGCAGTTAGAATCAAGTATAAATATATGAAAGACTCAAACAATAAAATAAAATAACCCTCTAGTGACTCAAAATGTACCAAAATATACTGAATTATATAAAAATTGTATAAACCCCAAAATAATACAGACCTCTATTGTCAAAAATCGAATTGAGCAATAAAAACAAAATCAAAAGCCAAAAAATTACTAAACACAACTATGAAATTCAAAACCAGTAAAATTGTCCCTATGGTGATTCTCAATGTACTAAAATATCTAAACCCCAAAAAATATAGACCTCTATTGATAAAAAATCCAATTAAGAGATAAAAAATCAATTCAATAAATAATAATCAAAATTTACAAAATTCAAAATTCGCAAACGGTAGAGGTAATCGGAAAAAACATCACCTGGATAAAAAGTCACCCCAAAAAAGTTAGAGGACAAAACATCACCTGGATAAAAATTCACCCGGAAAAAACATCACCCAGATAAAACATCACCATGAAAAAACTTCACCCGGAAAAAACATCACCCAATCCGATTAAAAACTAAAATTATTACTGTTATTACTCTATCATATGATTTTCTTTAATGTATTTTTAAATGCTGTGTTTTTTTTATTTCAATTTTTATTCCTATTTTATTTTCTTGACGGAGGTGGTTTATTTTGCTAGTTTAGTTTGAGCGCAATTGAATTTGGGAAACTGCTCTACATAAATGTATTTTGATTGATTTGATTGATTGATAAAATTACTAATAAAAGATGCATTGTATAATTGTAAACAGGAGAAATCATTGCAAATTAAGTATTAAAAACAGAGTTTTTAAATGTAATCGTAATCTCTTGTAAGTAGTATGGTATGTCCTATCGCTTGTAAAGCTATGGGTATGGTAACAAACTCATTATTCAGATCGTTGCAAATGTTTCGCAATCTTCGTTGATGGTTAATTGTGTTGAGATGTTTTTTTCAAGGTTGGTCGACCTTCTTGAAGTTGATTAAATGCATTGATATTCATCGATCTGTCTAACTGGAAAGCTCTCAGTAAGGTCCAAATTGACGGGTTAGAATGGCCCACTAAACTCCTAAAAGAACTGTTCCAGCCTTCGCAAATATTGTTTGTTCGAGCATTCCCACTAACTGTTATTTCATTCATGTTCCAAAGTTCAGGGGGAAATACTGGTGGTGTCCTCCTCAAAAGTATGGTGAGTGGATTATTGCCGGGCACTATTCTTAATTTTCCACGACAATAAAATTCATCAAAATAATTGACAAATTTTCTTATGTCGTCATCATTATTTGGGATGTTATTTAACAAATAAATTATCCCTTCTTCCACATCTTGGATTCGTAGAAAGGCGAGCCCATCGACCATTCCTACAAAGTGTCTTATGTTTTCATTTTGCTTATAAGTCGCACTTAATCCAAGTTCATTAATTTTCCTCCAGGAACTCTGTGTCAGATGAAAAAAACATGCTTTAATCTGAACGTGGTGACCAAACACGTCTTGAATTCCTCTCCGGGGGGCAATTTCGAAATCAATCATAACATCAGT